CATCAGTTCTTCTTCTGGCCAAACGGTAGAATTCACGTACACCTCCGGAAGTATGCAATTTTCTGTACAACTTCGTTACATATGTTTCTCTCGCTTCTTCGACTCTCTTCTTTGTGCTTCCAGATACTTCTGATGGGCCTCTTCTGTCCTTGTTCTCTGCCAAATCCTAAAAGCTAATTTCTTATTTTTTATCAAAAGCTGAATCTCTTTGTTCCACCACCATGTTTTCTTGTTGAGCCTGCGTCTTCCTGGTTTCGTGCGCCCCAGTAAATCTCCAACTACCTTATGAACATTCTTCTTTAGATTCACCCAGGACTGTTCTGCATCTTCTTCTAAGTCAGGTAGTGTAGATTCTAATCTACCCTACCTGACTTAGAAGGCGCTATGTTCTTCTGTAAGCTTCCACCATTTGATGTGCTCTCTTTGCTCTGTCGTTGTCCATCTTCGCCTTCGGATGGAATGTTTAGGTCCAGTAGAAGTGGCCTGTGTTGCGGTATGCATTCTTCACTTGGGATAACCTTGCTGTTCTTCACATACTTAAAGGCAGTGTCTCACCAAAATTTAGTTGCCAAAATTTTTGCATTTTGCAAGCTTGTCGGACCCTGTCTAGCACTGTATGGGCTTAAAATCGCACGAAGTTCCCAAAAACCCCGTTTTCTGGAGGCCCCGCGGAAGCAACGTGGACGAGTTGTACCTTCCAACTTCAGCCTCAGCCACAGTGGCAGCAACAGAGGGGAGGTGGATGCCAAGTGGAGGGACATGTTCAAACGCGTAAGGGGGGAGACCGAAGGAGTCGTCCGCGCGTACCAACTGGCTCTCCGCGTACCACTTTGAGCGAATTTTTCTCAGCGTAGAGGGGGTCAAATTGAGTGCGACTTGTTGCAATGGCCTATCTAGAGGTCCCTACAATAGAATATGTAAAGATCCCCGCGACCTCAACTTTGGTGAGACACTGCCTTTAAGTTCACTCTGCCTTATTGCCTAAAAGTCTATTTGCGACTTTCGGCCTCCACTGGCATACGATCAAATGACTGCTTTCCCTTACGAAATAAGTATTTGCCAGCGCTAACTCAGACAATTGCATCGGAAAGTTCGCGGCCTGAAAGCGTGCTAAATGGCGCGTCGCGGCCCTTAAAATTTGAGTCGCGCAAGCCGCGGCCCATGTATATTTTACCGGGAACGCCGCGGCCAAAGTTAAAATTGGAAAGAGCTTATCGGGAGAGTCGCGGCCCAATCACCTCACTCGGAGTGCCGCGGGCCTTGTCAAAGGCCGCACTTCTTACACACTGAAGCTTAAGGCGCAACCCGCGTGAGGTACGCCGCAGCGTTGGGGCTACCCTAAGCGTTTGTGGGGCTGGTAATCACTTCTCGGGTACGGTTGTGTAACAGTTGAGTTTATATGCTCACGAAACAAACTTCAGCAATCGGTTGAGTGTTATCGACGACAGTAGATGATGTCGACAGACGAGCTAACAAGTTGCTCAATTTGTATTCAGTCGTTGTCATGAAAGACTCATGAAAGACAGGCCAAAATTTTTTCACTCTTCCTAGGCTTCACAAGCATGCTAATCGGGTCAACTATCGGGCGCTTACAGGATGCGCCGCGGTCACTTATCGGGTCCAATATCGGTTTATACCAGGCAGCTCGCGGCATGGATTGGTGGCTGAGCAAGCACCCGCGAACTTCCCGATGCAATTGTTTGAGAAGTTATGAGCTGTAGCAAACTCGAGAATGTGTTCACCATCTTCATTTCGTACTCCGTATCCGTGGTCTCCATGGCGTTTTCCTGCACCACTTCTTTGTTTTCCGCCATGGCCGTTGAGATTTGCTCCAACCAGTAGCATCTCTTCTGATGGTAAGGATCGGACATAATCGTCGAGCTTATGCCAGAACACATTTTTCTCTACCTCACCGCAACCGGTTTGTGGTGCGTAGGCAGTGACTATTCGTAAAATCTGCCTCCCATTTTCAATCCTGATGCTCATAAGGCGGTCACTTACTCTATCCACGTTGGTTATTTTCTTTCTCAATCTTTCGCAGACCACTATCCCTACGCCATTTCTGCCATTACATACTCCGTTGTATAGGAGCTTAAATCCGCCTCCTAAATCCCGCGACTGTTGCCTTTTCCATCTGGTTTCTTGTATACAGGCGACATCTACTCTGCGTTCCTTAAGAAGATCTGCCAGTTCGCGATGTCGTGCAGTCAGAGATCCTACGTTGATGGTTGCAAGTCGGAGCGATTCTGAGAACTTGTTTCGTTGCTTACTATCATGAGCCAAGGTTTTTGGCCATCTCCTCTTCGGTCTTTGAGACCGTTGCTCTCGCTGTTTGTTCATGTTCGTTAGGCTCGCTTGCTCGTCGCTTTCGGGGAACGCCCTAGCTGTAATTCTTTGATCTCACTGAGACATAAAAGATCATACCAATCGATGCGACGGTTCGTCTTCTTCAGCCGGCTTGTCGCCTGCTTCCCTTTGGGTAAGCAGCCTGACGCTGGGATTAACCACTCACGATGGTCGAAGAATGGTCGAAGAATAAAGGCCCCGCTACTATTATGATGAAAATCTCACCGACCAAAATTTGGATGGACGGGGCTTTTAAAGGCGCGCACCAGTGGGCGGCCCCGTCCACAGAGAGAGACTGCCTGCCAAGCACCATTGCGCGGTACTGTCGTCAACGTGTTAACCAACCTCGATTTTGGCGTTTTCGCCATTTTCTCGAGAAACCCTTTCTGTGTGCATGGAACTGCAATTTTTTCACATAGTGTTAAGCAGTGTGATTTCCACTATCAAAATTCGGATTGGTTCTGAGCAAAACAGAGTAGGATATTGCACAATTTTAGAGCGGCTGCAAACTTTTGGCCAGCACTGTAGTAGGTCACGATACCTGAGCATGTTGAAACAACACTGTAGCAATGGCTGAGACAAATGTAGGGGGGGGGGGGAGGGGGGAGATGTGAAAGGAAAAGAGCTCTACGGCCAATCAAGGCTAAGTCAATTTTTCAATTCTAACTTGGAGTTTACAGTAAAATAGATCATGATAGTTATAACGCAAGCCATAGCTAATCACTCCACACTGATGTAAAACATAATTGCTTGCGAAGGTAAGGTCTGTTCGAAAAGGCGCAGGGATATTGAAATATCATGAATTCGGATTTTTTTACTGATAAGGAGCTCAACTCAAGTACATTAGTATATAGATGGTTATGCCACAATGCCAGCAAGTCAATGAGTACGCAAAATTTGCACGAAAAACTCACTAATTCGCTCCAGATCGATGCGCCGCAGCTAAGAATAGCGTATTTGGAACCAGCGTTTCAAGCTGATTCAGAAAAATTTAAACCTTTCCGAAGCCGTGCTAAATTGGGTACCTTCCCTTACGTAGCGTGGTAACTTTAGTCAAAACATGACCAGATTGCTCTCCCACAATAATCTGCGAGATAATCACAATGTCGCCAATCAAAACTGTACGAATTTAACCTGAGTTTTGGCAAATTACGGGCGTCTGATCGTTACAGCAATGTAGGATGGGCAAAAGTTTGGGAACCGACTTTGCAAGTTGTAAATTACCAAACTGCTGATGATTTTGAGTCAGAGACTGTGCCACAGAATACTGCGATCATCCTCTACAAGCTACACTTTACATATCTGAAAATGATTGCCATATGTAATTGTAAGACTTGGCTTTTCACGCAAGTGCTTCGGCAGAGCGAAAAAATCAATTTAGTATTTACTTCTACAACAATTTGATGCATACAATGTAGAGGAGGCTTTGCGCTATCACATCGTAGTAACTGCGTTTACAAGAAACTATCCTTTTGAAAACGCAAAATAAAAATTTGCAAGTATTACCTGCGTGTCAGTGGGCATTTGTCTCTAAATTAAAATTCTGAAACTATAGCAGAGCAGCAGATACCGAGTATTGAGCTATATTTTTTCCATGAGTGTTCTATATAAACATTTGAATTTGATCGATGGAGCAATTTCAATTCTTTTTAGATCGTATTTTTTCGCTCCCGTTGGCGCAATCGCATCCAAATTTCAAGTATGCGAGTACATTGCTTTCGCTTGAAATTCAAGCTTCAATTCAAAAAAATTTTCCTAATCGCAAAAAAATTTTGTGTGATATTTTGTAGCCAAAAGATTGCTCTATCATACTGCACATTTGTCTAGTGAAAGAAACACTTAGCATGAAGACGTGGAACAAATCACTTCGACTGCCTGCGTTCTACTACAGACAGACTTGCCAGAATTATGAAGGACTGCTTCAGTACCAAAAAGGAGTCCCAAAATTGGAAAGCTGCGCTATATTTGTAAAGGTTCGGTTCATGTGTGCACCAAATTTTTTGTTTTTAGGTACTTTTCTTCTGATTTTAAGTTAGTGTTCAAATGCTGCAATAATCTGAAGTTTGGAGAACGTTTGTCTGGAAAATTCGAGATAGGTAAAGTCTACAAGATACTACACGAAGGCCGCATTTATAGTAAGTCTGTTGCTCTAATATAAAAGCGTGAGTGATCAGCTTGAGCGTGTTGGCTGCTTTGAAATACAGATTTTCGTAAGTCTCTCAAAAAATTCTTTTGTATTAATGCTTCTTTTTGCTTGTAGCCGTAGAACAAGTGGTTTTGAACGACCCTTTGGTGAAAAATATAGTAAGGCAATGTAATTGGAGCCGCCGTCTCCTATTAAGTCAAGAAATCTGAAAAATTTGGTATTCAATGTCTGCTCATTGCACAACAAAACTTTTATTTCTCTCTTACACTTTTACAATTGTTCAATGTACTTCTATGATTTTAGTCTCTCCGTTATCGTAATAGTCTTCGTAATAATCGTCATAAACTTCTTGTGGAGTGGCTAAAAAAGAATAAGTCACATACGTTATTCTATCACAAAAGTAAGAGTGATAGTAGTAGTAGTAGTAGTAGCACTGTTTATAACTACTACTATTAGTAATTATAGTGGTAGGGATCTTGATCACAAAGTCCATAGGTGATATCGCAGTTTACATCCGTTCCTTTAATAACTTTCTTGCAGGGTCCTGGTTTTTGACATCCAGCATGATTTTTCGAATCTGCCCAGTAAATTCACCTTTTTTTGGCCTACAAAAGTTGCTATGTATGTTTCATGTTTTGTCGAGTAATATTCCCAAGCTTTTATGTGGTTGCTGGAATTAAATTGCTTACCTGTTACTATACACGCATGCAAGAGCAACCTTGCTTTTTTCTTTACAGAACATCAACCAACAGCCGAAATTCAGCGTCTTGTTGTAGATCATCTATGAATGTAGAGAAATCAAACTTTTGATTTGCAATGGATGACGGAAGCCAGCAAAAGCTCACATTAGCAAATGGTTCCATGGAAGTGTCAGTGTACACCACGTCTGATCTCAGCGGTTTCTCTACCGTTTTCATCCAGTCTTCCACCGCAAATTCAAAAAGATCCTTTTGTTTACTAGCATTTGGTTTTTTAGCCAGTCTATATCTGTAAAAGAATAGTCATTACATCATGTTTTTGCTCTACTCTTGTTCGCCATATGTAATAAAGTTTTCGCCTTTTCCAACTTTGTCCATGTAAATGCTGGAATGCTTGCATTTGTTCCCAATGGTGGCCATTGCAAGTCCTTCGTGTACACAGTCATACTTCTGCAAAAAGGTAACACGGTTTTGGTGTACGACCAATGTGTTTTGACTAAAAGCGCCGGAAGAAAACTGGAGAAAGGAGTCCCTTAATCAGTTGAAACATAGCCAGCAATGTCCTTTCACTCTGATTTTTCTGCCAATTCTACTCACCAGTTTGAAAAGAGTTTGCGATCCAGGCATACTTCCAAAAATTGAAGCATCTAGATCACGTGTGGCAACGCTTGCTCTGAGCTCATTGTGAAAGTTTGTGACAGCCGCTACCACAGTTGCATCGAGTTTGCAGGGTGCATGTGCTGAAATCCGCAATGCGTTTACTTCCTTTACATTCCATCATGAAATGGGGAAGCCCGTCAGAGGTCAAAATCTCAATTTCGAATACGTGAATTCTTACCCGCCTCCCTATATGAAAAAAGACTGCGCTTATCTGAAAATTTGATGTTGACTTGTGTAATTTTTGAAATGCAAACTATTATCATAATTACAAGCACAACAACATCTTGCTATTTTTGCGACCCAGTCTTGGACCTGAAGAAAATAACGCTTCTATGAATTTTATTAGTTGCAATGATATTTGTTGTGGACTTCGATGTCTTTTAACCAAATAATAAAGCATAGTTTTGCCTGGGATTGAAAAGAAGTGTAAAAATGTTTTATGCCTACTAGTTATTATTTGAGTCGGAAAAGATCGATGAGTTCGAAAAAGACTAAAGAAGAAAGCAAGTGTGACTTGTGGCATTAGCACAGGACATTACACCTTCAAAGTATGCAAGGAGCTCTGCTGATGTATAACAAGAGTCCTTTCTCAAAGTTTTTGTTTCACTGATACAGTGCTGTACATGATTATAAAGACACTCTAGAAATCGTCGTAATTTGCGTTCTTGTTGATGAAATTGTTCAAAACTTCGGTATAGTGCGCATGCTAGCCTACAAGGACCCCACAAAACGGTTTCCACCTTTGTTGAGTTCGAACGGAGAAAAACAGAGAAATGCGAAAAACCCCTTGCCGAAAGCTGGACAAAATTATGAAGACACTTGGTCTTTTCAAACACTATCACATCCACTGACTTCAGTTTTTTTTTTGTAAAGTTATATTAGGTTGTCCCGAAAGTTTTGTCGCTTTATTCAGACCATTATAAGACCCCGCACAATAAAGACCTGAATGAGTTTCAATATGCTTTCGGTGCAGCTTTTCCTTCTCTTTCTTGTGGTTACATTCTCAAGCCAATCCTGTGAGCTTTTTTTGATAATTGCAAAAATTCTTCACCTGTTATTTTTTTCTACTCAAAGTTCGGCTAATTTTTACCAACTTCATTTCGAAATTTCTGAAAGTGTTAAGCGTGGCTCAAATGAAGCAAATTTCAGCCTATATAGTAATATTTTTAGTTTCTCCTAATCTGCTGTTTGTAGCTCTAAAAATTTGTTTCTTCGAAGGTCTCGATTTTTGGCAAATTCATGAAACACGTAACTGCAGCAAAAACATGAATATCTTTTGAGTTTTTGCGAATTGAAACTTGTTTGTTATTAAACATTATTTTTGCAATCTATCTAAGTTCAATTTGCTTTGAAAAATCAGCTTTTTGCAATTTTCGGTACTTTTACGAGTTAAAGACAATCAAAAAGCCGCGGTTTTTTCAAATAAATAATTAATACAGACCTAATGAAAGTGCCTCATGTTATCTAAAATAGGTTTAATGTAGTCAAAGACTTGCCCCTCATAACAGTTATTAGCGTTCTTTAGAAATGTCAGGATAAAATTTCCTAAAATGCAGGAAAGGTTTAGCGTTATTGTTGAGTTGCTCAAAAAGCCATGGCGATAGCATCGCAAAGACAGGGTAGATCGGAGAGCAAATTTGGATGTAAGAAAAAGGATGAAAATCTGAATCGAATGGTACCCAGATCGTTTATGGATTGGTGTCCTGTGATCGAGACAACCTAATATATTGAATTGTGAAACATTTGCAACATATGCGACCTGTCATCCTTTTCAAAGGGAAATGTTCACTGCATTTTTGCTTTTAAGAGTACCAAAAGTCAATCTGCTTCATCAACCAGCTGGTTTGAGGAGTTTCTAAGCTTTTGTTCATTTCAAATGATATTTATGAAATCCACTGACCATCCTGGATAAATGAGTTAAAGAACGCTTTCGTAAACTCTGCGTGATCGCTGACATCGACGGACAGACTTCAACCTCAACATAGGCTTGCCACGCTTTTGAACCACAAAACTCAACCTTCAAGCGACAAAAAATACTGTAACGCAGCCATTACGTCGACTGTACAACAGTAATTTTGTGTGCAAGAAAGAATTTTGAAGTTGGCATAATGGTTCAGCCGAAGTTATCGTCCACTGATGTTGAGTAGAGCACCCTGGATAATCGTAGCTAACTCAGATCACGAGATAGAACAGGAGACCGCTCAGAAGTTCGAAATCTTGGCTATTCTCATTCTTTCTAGAATTTGACATGAAACAGAGAGGAAAATAGTGTTTGTGATTATTTCAAATTCATTGCTCGATAATTTCGTGGAAAGTATTTCGGGTTTAAATTGCTACAGCATCACTAGGAAAAATCTGAAAGTTGTTGCGAAAGCTGCACCACCATGTAGGCAGTGTAATAAATCAAGTTCAGCACTTTGTGGACATTGTAAACCGGGTTTGTGGTTTGAAAACGTGACAAGTCTATGCCTGAGGTTGGAGTCTGTTCGTCAATATCGGCGATCACGCAAAGTTTACGGAAGCGTTCTTCAACTCATTTATCCAGGAGGGTCAGTGGATTCCATGACAACCATTTGAAATGGACAAATGCTTGAAAACTCCGCAAACAACTGTTTGTCGAAGCAGATTGTTTTTTGGTGCTCTTGAAAGCAAAAGTTGCAGCGAACATTTCTCTTTGGAAAGGATGACAGGTCACATATGTTGCAAATGTTTCATAATTCAGTATGTAACTTTACAATAAAGGGATGAGTGTTTGAAAAAAATCAGGTGTTTTTATAACTCTGTCCAGCTTTCGGCAGGGGGTTTTCCGCAATTATTATTTTTCTCCGTTCGAACTCAACAAAATTGGAAGCCGTTTTGCGGGGCCATGGTAGGCTAACATGCGCACTATACAGTCAAGTTTCGGACAGTTTCATCAACAAGAACGCAAATTACAACAGTTTTTATAGTGCCTTTATAATTATGTCCAGCTTTGTATCTGTTTTGCTTCCTTCCTGAAATACTATCAACATGCTAATATCTAACGCCGTTTTTCACGAACAATATAGAAACTAAGGTGAAAACTATTCATACGAGAATGAATTATGCTGTTTGATTGTTAACATTCTTTACATATACAAATTTAGCCTTCCATAGGACATGAGGCCTATACAAGCCATAACAGTACGAGACATATATCTCGTCGACGAAAAGCATAACTGCTTTCTAAACACATGCGCAGCAACTGACCACTCTGTGAATTCTGTGTATATGTGGGCATCCTCCCAGTGTCGTTCCCAGATGAACCATCGTTGTTCCCATATCAACCATCAGTGGCTGTCTTTCGATCATCTCAGACAATCAAAGGTTTTCAACGGGCAGCCACAAAGCCACCGCCGAGCCCCATCAAAAACTCCGTGGTCTTATCCCTCACTGTCGCTTCCCGCTGAGAACCATGTCAGAACTGGCAGCGAGCGGAGTGCTACAAAGTTTTCAGCGCGAAACGAAAGCGGCGGTTATAGCAGCCCGCTCGTTGCTAGTTTTGGCACGGTTCTCAGCGGGAAGCGACAGTGAGGCGATAAGGCCTAAAGGAGCGATAAGGAGATTTTGAGATGTCAACTTCGAATAAGCGCCTTAAATTTGAATTAACGTGTTCTATGAACATCTTGCGGTATTGCACTGCTTTACCGTGAAATCGTGATGCAATTGACATACCATTCGAAAGAGCTCTTTAAGCTCTCTTGAACGTTGTATCATGCTTTTGAAAATCCTTTTGTTTTCAAGTAAGAAAGGTTAAAAAAACTTGAAAATTAACGATTTTTGCCGCAGTCAAAGGCCAAAAAATCATGCTTTAGCATAAATGTTCCGAAGACAGATGAAATTCGGGTTAAACTGCATAAGGATGGATAGAGCGAAGAAAGCTCCATCAGATGGTAGGCAAACACATGCGTCCGCTTGCAAGGCAATAAACAACACATATCTCAGGTCTCAAAAATGCCAATGACCACATCGACTTTAAGCGCTGAGGCCAGCAAGCCATCGTGATTTGGTGATTGTACCTTCACCCACTGCAGCAATGGTACGTTGGATAGTTTCACTTGTTTGACTGCGCAAATACTGCTCAAAGTTAGTTCATAATTGTCGAAGTAAATGGCTTCGCATTTCAGCAAGTTCAAAAATTATTAATTATGTAAATGAACTTATTATAGATATTATTTGAAAGAAAACATTATGTTCCAACATCTATAAAAATCAGAGCATTTAGTGAGCTCTCCAAGTATAAATTTCTGCTAGAGAGTATGATGTCTCGCGCGCTCAAACTGTTGGCATATGAACTGCGTTTCGATTTTGTCTAGAAAACCTCGAAAAAAAATCACAGACCTTTTAACAAAACTTGTTATAACTGTTTTTTCCCGTTGGCTTAGATTTGACCGACAACCAGGGCTCGGCCAGCTGGCAGGCTGGATATCGTTTTGGGGCGGAAAGCAAAGAGAATATCTTTGTTGCGAGTATAGGCCGCTGTTTGCTAAAATTAGAAGGGCACGCCGCCAGCATGCCGAGGCATTTTCACTGGTTTTTTTGCTTATTTTATGCTCTCGAGTTGCTCTTTGAACTGAGATCATTTGCCAAGATTTTACAAAAACTGAGTAAAAAAGCAAGATTTTTGCTTAAGTACTCAGCTATGCTGACTGTTGATCACAAATCTGTATCATGCTCACTTTTGATTTCTTAGAAACGCTGAAAGTTTTCTACGTGATATAAGTGATTCCGAACACAAAGCCTTTTAAGAAATCAAATGAAGAGTACCAGCTGCAAAACGTGAATGAGTGGGGGAAACCTGAAAATACGGATGTCGTAATGATTTTCATTAGACCACTAGTTGGCTTATCCGGCTTCGCCCGACCCTGTCAAAGTTATGTCAGAAGTTACTATCAGGGTCAAGCAAGGGGTGTGGCACACGCTCGCTGGTTACGACCCCCCCCCCCCGATTGCTGTCTTAATAAGACCCCCCTCCCTGAACTATATACCTAAGATAGCATTACCAGGGTTGAGAAAGAGGTCAGGCACAAGTCTTTCGAAAACAACCCCCCCTCCCATGAAAGCCCTCAAACGACCCCTTCTTCTTCCTCTTAACCTCTGGACCTCAAAGTGTGACATTCTGGAGGACACCAGCTTTTTTTAGAGAGTTTTCAGATTTCTGAGAGCTGTACGCCTTCAAATTCCGATTTTCTGTGACTGCACTTTACAATCACAAGTAAATTGACGGCTGATTTTGATCTGAATGGGCATATTTAAAGGGCCATAATTTTCTTATGGGTGGAGCGTTCGGCTCCAAATTTCCAGTGTAGCAAGAAGAAGCTATGTGCTCAATACTAATACCAGCAATGGAGCGCTTTCTGGATTTTGAAGGCAAGTTAAGGGGGTGCGGCACACCCCCTCGAAAGCTGCGGCAGCCGCAGCTTTCAAGGGGGTGTGCCGCACCCCATTAACTATATCAAAAAACCATTTTTAGCGGACAGTATTTATACGAATCGATAGCTTAAACCTTGTAGATTCCATAGGACTGTTTGGAGCCTGATTCGTCTTCTTAGCTCTGAGTAATATTTGATGAAAGCACAGCGATCAAAAGCGAAAAATGGGAAAAAACAAGATTTTGGTTGACTTCTAATTCCACAGTTTGCAGGTCTTTTGGCGCGGGATTCCTGAGGTGGACAAAGAAGGAGTAGTGCTTTGTATTGAGTGCAAAAACGGATAGCTACTTCACCTTTGAAACAAAGTTTACCATGTTGGAATTTGACCATTTCATTTAGGTAGCCTAGTATCTCGAATCTTCAGAATTCGCTCACACTTTGTCTACAGGGGTTAATTGACATACTAATTATGGATATGATACAAATATCATGTTATCACTATTATCAGATTACCCAACTACGACCCCCTCCCCTTTTGACTCCTCAATACGACCCCCCAGGTGTGGCGGCGTGCCGCACCCCACGCTTGACCCTGGTTACTATCACTAGTCCAGTACAAACTTTTTTCCGTGCCCACTTCTACGTGCCAATTCCCGTTTTTCCCGTAAACAGCATGCCTCCCCATTCACCCCAGTGACTCTCTGCCACGGAGATCATCTTTGCAGGAAAATGAATAAATACGACAAAAGATACAGATAATTCTGAAAGCTAATATCGGATTCGTAATCAGCATGCTCACTTACTCCCTCGTGCCAACTCCCAGCTCCGTAGCTTAATTTGTAAAAAATCGATAAAATCGATATCGATCGATGACAAAAAGTAGCCTGTGACACTTGCCCGGTCCCGAAGTGTATGTATGCCAAGTTTGGTCCGGATCGGTTCGAAAATAAAAATTTCTATTTGGAACATACGGTACAATCACACAAACATACAAAAGACATTCAGCTTTATGTACAAGAAATATGTAGAGGAGTGGCAGACTGCGGCGGCGGGGGTGGGGCGACGGCAAGGGGTCGCGAACTCTCTGGAGGTCACTTAGGTATAAAAATATGGCAGTGCTTGTTCATATTTGTCAATAAATGCAATAATTTCAAAACTTTTCAAAATACAATTCATCTTTGTAAAACAAATTTTCTCTTCTCAAATTTCGAGCTTCATCTCGCAAAAAATCTGGGAAGCATCAAACATTCGCCACTTATACAGAGCTGTTGTAAATTTTAGGTCGTTCCAAATCATTCAGCTTTTTTCAGGTGAGCGCTACATCCATAAGATGAAAGATTCGTGGAACATCTCGGTCGCACTGGTACAAGTTTTCATTATCTTTCAAGTATTTAGGATAGTGTTGCAGTGTCGCCAAAGGGCTCTCAGAAAAATAAAAACCCATGGTTTTTGCCATGGCCTGGGCAAGTTTCGCTAACCATCGCTGCCATGGCCAAGTTTCGCTAGTTTTCTTATCTCTTGTATTTTCTTCCGTCGAAAAACCGGAGCACTCGCCAGAGCAAAGGTGTGATCGGATTGCAGTTGTGTGCTTGTAGAACCACAATCAATAAATTCGGCTATGAGTTATGTATGTTGCTTTGTTCTTGTGCTTGTTTGAAAAATGTGAACGAAAGGGGTGTAGGGAACAGGATGGGGATGACTATGCAATAATTGAAATACTTCAGTTATAGCGCTTCAATTTGAATTTGTTCATTCCTATTCTTGACTAATCTAATCACTGAAGCTAGCGGATCATTTGTGCAGTAGTGAGTATATAACTACTTATATTATATTAAGGACACATGTGGCAAGCCCGTGAAGGGCATTGAGCCTTTCTTTTCGTCTTACATGGTTGTATTAGACTCACCCAAATCGGAATACTGGCCTCCCTCCGACGCATCCAATCCAAAAAGTATAAAGGTGATCTGAAAAAGTTGTTGATTGCGGACTTAAATATGTAAGATGAAACTTGCCAAAATCGCTAAGTTCAGCCAAAGCATCTTCATCATTGGCTCATTTCCTTCCTTTTTATGTGCAGCCGATTCTGAAATGTGCTATAACGCCCCTATAATCATGACGCCAGTTTGGCTACATCATAATGCCAACATTTTGCTATTTCCAACTTCGGTGGTGATGGCTTATGATGTGAAATCATAGTATTGATGGAACCTTTTTACAGTGACGCCGATGTTTAGATTGAACTAGAAGTATATTGACGATAATAAAGAAGAATACTGATGCAATATCGAAAACTAAAGCTGTTTGTTGCTTTGTGAAAGTTCTTGGATGAGAAAGACAAGGATGCCGTAAATTTTAACAACATTATCGCGCTGTGTCTCCCTTTTTGCATATTTTGAAACTTTAACAAACTTATAGAATTCTGAAAAGTGGATCGTTAAGCACATGACAGCGAAGTAATCGTCAAGATTATTCGAATAATCGGAACATGTACAATTCAGTACTAAAGAACGTTACACTTTCTTTGTTTTCAAGTTCATTTCAAGTCAAAAATTCAACGAGCAGTCATTTTTTCCAATTATGACCTTAAAAAATGACTGAATGTGTCTGGACCACGCCCTTTCCTTAAATTGCGAACTGCTCCGTTCCTTTTTCATTCTTCTAGTCGGTCCATTGTCGCGAGCTGTTTTTAATATCTTACGATGTTTTAGCAGAAAATCCGTGTAAAAGAAACAAAGTTCTAGTTTGTCAAGAAGTACTAGCAGAGAGAGCAAAATCAGCTGATCAAACGTCGCATAAAGTTTGATCCTCATGCAGTTCGAGGACAGTTTTTCATGCTACTCAACAACAAGAAATCGTTGCCTCGAAATCCTACCTGCACAGGCTTATTTGCACCATCTTAGAGCAAACATTCGTACAATTTCTATTTTTTGGCCAGATTTCGAAAAAACAAAAATGGCAAGCTTTGTCTTATTCTTTCAAAAGAAATATTACCGTTACGCAGTTGCCACTAAAATTACAATGTCTTAGCTTGGTACATTAAGAAAAACTAACATACCTTGCACAACTCTCTCTACTGTACCTTCAATTTCTATGACTTGGACTGCATTACTGGGTTTATATGAGCCAATGGCGATCCCAGGATTTTGGAGCGGGGGGGGGGGAGAATGTTTTTCTTAGTGAAGGTGCGGCCACGATCGTCAGCGGCGTCAGCCAAGCACTCTAAAAAATTTTTTAGGAACCTTCTCAAAGTTTTGTGGGCGCCCATGACCCAAAATATCAGTAAAAGAGGGCGTGGCAGCAACGCCCCCCAAAGAAATTTTTTCACTATAATTTAAACTTTTGAAAAATTCCAAAAACTAGTTTAATTATTCTCAAGTATAAACAAGCCACTTCTACATTTTTATGACCCATACTAGCTAGCTTTTCCGGCTCCGCTAGGCCCTTCGAAACACTATAAGAATGCTCTCATCCGTATCTCTGTACAATCTTTCCCTGTGCCCGAGTCTACATACCAATTCCCTTATTCCCGTTGTTTTAGTAATCAGCATGCTCGATTACCCCCTCTGCCAACTCCCAGCCCCGTAGCTCAAACTTTGAAAAAAATCTATGAAATCCGTGAAAGATGTAGATATTATAATTTTAAAAACTAATACTGTATTTCCTCCACAATAGACGGCCGCCTCATCGTGGCGTGGGGGTGACACTGGGTGTCAAACTGCGATGCACAGCCGAGTGTATACTCTGGCAGGGCCCCCCAAGCTGTGAAGGAGTTCGACGTTTCCGGTTTCGGCCGGATGCTTAGCTAAGAGCCCGCCAGGCCAGATCCACCGCCCTCTGGTTTTCAGGTCGCTAGGCGGTTTCTCCCCGCTCCAAGCCCGGGGTCAGCGATCGCCCCGTGGAAATCAAGAGTTCGCCTAGTAAGTCTGCTCTTGTAGAAGAAAAATTTCATTACTCTACCAGTTAAAAGAATAGAAAGAAACCCTGCACATCGAATCCCGCCTACGGCGCCGGGTGGTAGCAAGAATGATGTCAGGGTCCTCAGGGCGCCTTTTGAATTGGACAAAAACGACACGTCTGCCCGGACAACACGCCATGGAGACTGCCTCATGCTCTGCACCTAAAACGCCAGGACAGTCTCCGCACGCCGACCTCCAAGCTCTTCTCGACGCTGCAGAGCACATCAACTACCACATCATCGCTCTGCAGGAAACGAAGTCCAGGAAGAAGGACGTGCGACAGATGAGTGATGGGACCCTCATCATTCGTGGTGAAAAAGTTCCATCACGAAACGTGGGAGGCGTCGGATTTGTCGTCCACCCATCTATCGTCCATCTTGTCGATTCGCATGAGATCCTATCATCTCGACTAGGCATCCTACGACTACGCCCTCAACGTCAGAAGACCATCAGCATCATCAACTGCTACTCACCAACATCAGCAGCTGACGACTCAGAACTAGGTGCTTTCTACGAAGACGTGGAGGAGGTCATCCGCAACGAAAAGTCTTTCTACAAGTATGTTGTGGGCGACTTCAATGCGAAAATCGGGATGCCACTAGAAAAGGAATATAGGATCGGGAAGTTTGGATATGGGCTCCGAAACGAAAACGGCAACCGTCTCGCGGGCTTCTCTCTGCCGCACGACTTTTCCATATAAATTCCATCTTCATGAAGAAAGAACATCGCCGATGGACATGGGAATCGCATAACTGAACGACTCACGCGGGAATCGACCACATTCTCGCCAACCGAAAATGGAGCTTGCTCGATGTCTCAGTAGTTCCATCCTTCTGCAGTGGCTCAAATCACCGCCTCCTTCGAGCGAAGATACGACTCAGCCGAAGGCTGGAAAAGAAAGTCTGTCACAGTGCCGCGAGAAGGAAGGAAGTCGTTTATGACGGTAAGGCTGGAGGAGCTCTTATCAAGATGTGACTGGCCCATCTAGGAGGACTCAACGTACGACTGCGACCGGCTTCTGAAAGGATTGCGAACCTGCAGAGAATGTGCCTCAGTGACTTCTGAGAAGAACTTGGAACGTATTTCGAAGACCACCAAGGAATTGCTCGAAAGAAGAAGATTTCTGAGGCAGGATGCGAATGCAACCCATCTCGAGCGGTTGATAGCCAAACCAGTTGCAGAACAGCTTTGCAGGAGGATCTCAGGAAGTACAGGCAAACCAAGATACTGGAAGCATCCGAAGGAAAACGAAGTCTTAAGAAATACCAAAGGGACCTCTGTGAATATCACGTACTGCTGGCTGCACTATTGAATGAAGATAGGACTCCGACTTCTTCCCAATACAAGATGGAATCTATCGCGAAGAACATCTACGCCAACCTCTTCCGCTCATCAACACGCGTGCCGATGCCCGTTGTTTCCACTGGAAAATTACCACCACGAATTCTACCTGCTGAAGTGCGCACGGCAATTCAGACCATGAAGACATCCACGACTCCAGGACCAGACCATCTTTCCTTCGAATTTCTGCGAGCCGGAGGACGACGTCTACACAAGATTTTCGCGTCGCACCTGACATCTTACCTTCAAAAGGAGAGAATTCCCGACCAGTGGAGAACGTCAAGAACCGTTCTTTTTTTTGAGAAGGGTGAACGGGAAGATTTTCGAAATTACTGTCCAATATGCCTGCTGAGTGTGCTGTACAAGCACACTCATAAAGATTATCTCGCACGCATATCTAGGACACTGGATGAAGCCCAACCCCAACAACAAGCTGGATTTCGCAAAGGATTCAGCTGCATGGACCACATCCAGACGGTTTCGAGGGTCATAGAAGTCTGCCGGGAGTACCGACTGTCTCTCGACCTAACCCTTCGTCGACTACGAGAAAGCCTTTAACAGCGTCGAAACCAACGCCATCTTGTCTGCGCTAGTCGATCAAGGAGTGGAACCAGCTTACGTGAGGACACTAGCCGACTGCTACAAGGACTGTACAACAACGATACAGCTATTCCATCGCCCCTGACCATCCCAAATGGGAAGGGGGTTCGACAAGGCGACACTATTTCGCCGAAGCTGTTCACCGCGGCCTTGCAGTGGGTGATGAAGTCACTGGACTGGGACGAGAGAGGCATACGAGTTGATGGGAGATTCCTGTCTAACCTTCGTTTCGCGGACGACATCGTTCTCTTCTCGAGTAGTATCACCGAAGCAGAGACGATGCTGAAGGAACTGAACGAGATAGGGAAGAAGATCGGACTGCGAATAAATCGGAAGAAGACTCAGTTCATGAAGAACGCCCTTTGCGAAGATGCAGAAATGGAATTAGAAGGCACCCCTATCATGGAGACGTCTTCTTACGTGTATTTCGGACGTTCGATGAACATGGAGAACGACTTGAGGGAGGAACTTAACAGGAGAAGAAGAGCAGCCTGGGCCGCCTTCGGGCCTCTGAAGGAAGCCACCGACCAACTGACGAACCCGGAGCTTCGTGCCCACCTGTTAGACTTAACCGTTCTCCCAGCGCTCTGCTACGCAGCTGAACCTGGGCCGACACGGTAACCAAGTTGAAAGCTTTGTGGACCACCCACAAAGCGCTTGAGCACAGTCTTCTGGGCCGGTGGTAATCTCCCCGACCTGGCGGCAGGTCTCGTCGGCAGGTCGCTTGCACCTTTTCCGTGAGGTGGCCAGAAAGTGAGACCCCAAATTTAGGCCGTCTCAGGCCTTATTCCAAAAATTTTCTAGATAAAGATGCCGCCTCGACTTTGTAAAAAACTCCATAAAAGTCTGCGGTTCCAGAACTCCTCCTTTAGTAAAATATTTGGAAGCGCAGGAGGAGCTGCCGGCAGCTTCGCGATGTCAGTTGCCGACAACCTGCCGGCAGCTCGTCGAAATCCGCGAGATGGCAGCTGCCAGCAGGTCAGAGAGCACGGGAAATAGCGTGCTCTTTTAAGAGAGGGAGCTGCCGGCATCTCGACGTGCCCCTACCACGTCGAGGTGGTGGCACTTTTGCCGACGGCGTCTGCGAGTTTGCGATTTGCACATCACACAATTACACGATATCACACAATTTACGTCAGGAGAAAAAATCAGAAAATCTACTGTTCATCAAAAAACTATCATTTTTCTCATTGTATGAGTTTTTCTTTTTTGAAACGACAACTTTCTTACAAAGAAAAAATCCAGTAATGCCTTAAAATCATAAAGAACACCATCTTTTTTGACAATCCCTTAAATA